AATTCAGAATAGTTGGAGTTACGGTTGACAAGCAAAATGATCTGAAGACTGAGGAACTAAGTGCGCATGGAGGGTCATCAAGCTAGGCAGTCAAATCACTGCTGAGGGAAAATGCAAAGCAATAAACAAACAAACAAACAAACAAACAAACAAACAAAAACAAACCATGCCAGGACCAGGAATTGAACTGTTTCCTCTGTGAAGTCCCAGTCCAAAAGGAAATTTGCTTCGTCTAGGAAGGTTCAATGGCCAGCCTGGACGGATGGGGCCAGTCTGGAGCTGAGCTTAAGAACCCAGGAAAATGCTTTATGATGCAGTTTTAGTGGTTAGCAACATACGGCAGCACCACACATAGCCAATAGTTCCATTCTAGGACTCATGGCTCCCAACACACAATCTGATCCTAACTTTTCTATCTTATGCAAATAACATTTTAATTACGGAGCTTTAAGAATGTTTAAAACATGATTCTAAATTAGCCAATATTCTATGTGGCTCCATCTGCACCATACTTTAAAGTATCATGCCACTTTAAACAGTCGTGGCTTCCCCCCAAAGAGTTATAGGAATTATAGTTTTTTTAAGGGTTCTGAGAGTTGTTAGGACATCCCTATTCCCTTCACAGAGCTATAATTCCCAGAGAATTCCCTGGGAAGACGAACTGACTGTTAAACCACTCTGAGATTTGTAGCTCTGTGAAGATCTCCTAACAACTCTCAGAACCCTTAAAAAACTATAATTCCTATAACTCTTCGGGGGAAGCCATCACTGTTTAAAGTGGCATGATACTGCTTTAAATGTATTGTATAGATGAAGCCCAACTCTCTGAAAACCCTTTCTCTGATTTCATATGGGAAGCTGTTGAATTAACACACACAAAAGTACACAGCTTCCCCATAAGTCATAATCTAGTATCCACTGTAAAAACAACAACAAAAACAAAATAATCTGCATCCAAATTTGACACGGTTTTGTTGACATCCATTTGTCTTGAGAGACTATAGAAGAGCATGCCATTGGAGGTACAGTCAAACTGTTGGAGAGGCACAGCATCTGCTGTGGCTGCAGAGACCAAAATGGGGGAGGCATGTTTATTTCATCAGGGGCAGATGAAGGCATTCAGTTTTGCTGCTACAGATGCACCACAGCATTTCTTCTCTCTGCATTCCCGTCAGTGATCATTTCTCCTCTGGTCACTGCTGTGGATACATAACCTGACTGTCTGTCTCCAGGGGCTGTGGTTATCTGCAAGCAACTCCCACATGGCAGGGTTAATGTTTGCAGACATCTTTATAACACAGAGTTGGTCTGCCAATAGGCCTGGTGCCTGAAGCCAGCTCCTAAAGCACATCCTTGGGGATCATGCCATCTTCCATTCTTCGAATATGGACTATGCCAGCGTAGACATCACTGAGACAGGAGTGCAAACATGCTGGGAATGTGGACTTGGAAGGAGCATGTCTTTGTTTGAGACTCTGTCCTGCCATGTAATCCCCCAAAATCTTCCTGATGCAGTGTATATGGAAGGCACTAAGGCGTTGCTCCTGGTGGGTGTAAGTTTCTCATGATTCACTTAACACACAAGTCTGTTAGACCTTCATCCTGGTATTGGCTGTTAGCATCACATTCTCCCATACCTTTTTGGAGAGGCAAGTCATTGCCGTAGCTAACTTTCCAATACACTTATCCAGCTCAGCATCAATGGAAAGGTTGCAGGTTATGGTGGAGCCCAGGAAGGCAAAATTGTCTACCACCTCAGGCATGTGGTCACCAGTGGCTGATGTGTGGAGTGCTGGCGACATACTGACCCAAGATGCTGTTCTTCATCAGGCTGATGGTGAGGCTGAACTCCATGAAGGCTTGGGCAATACTGCTGATGAGTCTCTGTAGAGCTTCCTCAGAGCATGCTGTCAAGGCTGTGTCCTCTGCAAACAACATCTCATGGATAAGAACCTGTCACACTTTTGTCTTGTGTGGAGACGTGCCAGATCTAACAGACCCCTAACACTCCTTGAATGGAAGCACCCACTGTCTTCTGAAGGTGAAGGAGAGCAACAGGGAGAATATGTCAAAGAGTATTGGGCCAAAAACACGGCACTGTTTCACACCACTTTTTATTGGGAAAGCATCCAAGGATGAAGAGTTATGTTGGATAGTGCCATGCATGTTCTTGTGGAAGGACACAATCATCTGGTGGAGCTTAGGTGGGCATCTTATCTTGTTGAGCAATGTGAAGAGTCCCTTTTTGGCTGAGGTCAAAGGCCTTCATCAGGTCCATCAAGGCGACATATAAAGGGTGTCTATACTCTTAGCATTTCTCCTGCGCTGGTGCAGTGAGAAAATCATGTCGACTGTTGACCTCTGAGCTCTAAAGCTGCATTGTGACTCGGGATAGACCCAATCAGTGAGTGACTGTAATCTGTTGAGAACTACAGGTTACGCTATTAAAAATAAACTATATAAAAACTGTGACGATCTCACAACACATTCCCATTACAGCCTAAACAACATTTCTATGTTGTTCTAATATATATTCTCATCCAATGTATCCTTGTTAATAGTTATTAATGCATATATACTCCAGTTAAAATATGGCAATGAAATATCACTTTCTAAAACTACTTTTAATTCAAGTACCACCACCAAAGAAACATGCATTAGCTCTGTTAAAACTTCAGGACAGATTTTAAGGCAATTTTTTTCTGTATTTTATACTTTAAGAAGTTATAGAAAACCTGTTCTTCCAGAGAGCCCTAGGACAAGTCTGCCTCTGTGTTCCTAATTCTAAAGTGGGGATACTACCACACCCCTACATTAATATGTTAAAATAAACAACACAGAGCAGGCAGAGAGGAGCTCAAATAGCTAACCTCATAGGAGAAGATTTGTATTAGCCCAAGTGTATAAATCCTACATCCCACTGAAATACGAATGAGACCAATCACTGAACAAATGGGCTTCAAACTATGCTCTTGTTGCATATTGTTGCAAGTTTCTATATGACTAAAAATGGTTCGCCTGCAAATGTCCAAACCACTGTCCCCAACAGATAACAGATGGGACTACATTTTCCTTGATATACAGCAATTTTGTCTGAAAAAGAAGTGTACACCCCAAAATGTCAAGCATGTGTGATAGAGGCCTTCTCCAACTGGATTTACACACACACCCCATTAGCCAATAAAAGTGGCTGCAAGAAACAAACTATCCAAAGGGAACTGACTGCATTTCACAATTTAGAGAACCAACAGAAGACAAGCACAGAAGGGACCACTGTTACTTAAGTCCGCAATAAAATTGTTCCAAAAAGTACCAGGTGTTGTGGGAAGACAAGTTTGAAGTAGGAGAGAGAAAATTCTAGAGATACAACTTATCAACCCAGAAGGTTAAATTAACAGAAACTACCTTGGTGGACCATGCTATGAGCTCCCCCTAGTGGACAAAGGGAAGCTGGTGACTAGCTGCAAAAATCATTTTAAAAGAATTGTTGTTTAGTCGTTTAGTCATGTCCGACTCTTCGTGACCCCATGGACCAGAGCACGCCAGGCACTCCTGTCTTCCACTGCCTCCCGCAGTTTGGTCAGACTCATGTTTGTAGCTTCGAGAACACTGTCTAACCATCTCATCCTCTGTCGTCCCCTTCTTCTTGTGCCCTCAATCTTTCCCAACATCAGGGTCTTTTCCAGGGAGCTCTTCTCATGAGGTGGCCAAAGTATTGGAGCCTCAGCTTCACGATCTGTCCTTCCAGTGAACACTCAGGGCTGATTTCCTTAAGAATGGATCGGTTTGATCTTCTTGCAGTCCATGGGACTCTCAAGAGTCTCCTCCAGCACCATTTAAAAGAATACCGTACCACTAAAGGCATTGCAAAAGGTGTAGCTTTAGTGCTTGCCATTTGTCAATTATCATTCTGTGCTGCTGGGGTGGCAGAGCAGAGAGAACAAATATATTATCACTGTTACACATTTGAGATACACAATAGGGGGTGAGGTTGAATATGGACCAAGGAACAAGATTGTGGACTTGCCTTTCCAGAAATTCTCATTTCATCTCCACTCCTTGTTACATAGTGATAGAAAAACATATTTCTTTTGCAGGTTGATTTACAGTGGGGAAACAATTTATTACAAAGGTCAGGTTTTTTTGAGCTTCGTGTCATTTTTTTGTTATCCAAAAGTTTGGGACATTTCTCCCCTTTGAGCTATTTTTTCTCCACATTGCTCAAACAAATCCCTCTTCTCAAGTGGTTGTACTCTGGAGCTTGTACCAAAGACACTCACTGGCTGTGCTTAGAAATGCCAGGTCAGGAACAGGATGATCCAGCCAGCCCTAACTCAAATATGAGCAATTTTGTAAGGCAATACTCATTGCCAAGGCACATGAGGAAAATATAAAGCCAGATCTACTTGGGGGATGGAAGGAGAGAGCAGGAACACAATCTCTGATGGTGATAATTAATTTAGCTTGGCTGTTGCTCAGACCAATAATGCTTAACAAAAGATTTTCAAATACGAAATCAACTACAATCATGTTTGGAAAGTCTTCTTTCTATCCTAGGGCACTCAACACATTCTTAGGGAATGGAAACGTATATGCCAGAGCAACAAAAGGAAGGGGAAAAGAGGCAAGCTAAAGTACTGGAAAGTGATGGCTAACTAGTGAAAAGAGGTAGCGAGGGCTTATTCAGGGGCTCAAAGGATCAAAATAAGAAAAAGTCCTCTTCTTTGAAGATGCTTTTTTTGTGAAAGAGGGGGCATTTCTTGGTGATATCTTAGGAACAATCTTAGGAACAATATGGGCTAATTAAAGGCATATTACATGCAAACTGTTATCTTCAAGTATCAATATGTTATGGCAAATTTATTTTATCCAGTAATTTATGAGTTGTGGGTAAGTAATGCAAGGTACAAAGTCCCCCCCCCCCGAGAATCATAGAAGTATAGAGTTGGAAGGGACCACAAGGGTCATCTAGTGCAACCCCCTGCAATGCACAATTTATTTGCTTAATGTGGGGCTCAAATCTACAACCCTGAGATTAAAAGTCTCATGCTGTACCAATTGAACTACCTACCCTGGGTTTTATGATGAGCTGATCCATCTCAAAAAGAGAGTTTGGAGGGATCCTAAAAGTATCAGAATATGTGGTGAATATTGCAAAAGCTTACATATGCTGATCCCAGTTTGAAGCCTTGTAAGAAAGGATAGACAATGTGCTAATTCAGTTTAGTTGTGGCTCTGAGGCAGAATTCTGAAAGGCTCAAATGACACACCTAGCCTTTGGGGTAACTTCACTGAGACCATGGAAAGGGAAACAGATATCCACATCAGCCACACGTGATCATTACTGAAGGGATGCACCAGCAAAATCAGACACCTGACTGCTTGTTGAAGGGAAGGCAATTATAAGTAAGGAGAAGAGGAGAATGACACACAAATTCTCTGGGGGAAAATAAATGCAGAGGCAAACAAGACACCACCTTTGGAAAAGGCAACAGGTAAACTTTCCAAATCCTCCAAGCTGCCTTCAACCTAACACAATCCCTTTAACTAAAACCTGTGCCAACTTTTTCTTAACATGCCATTACTAGGATTCCATCCACATGCCAGGAGATGCTGCAGTCACGGCTTTTCATGAATTTCTCAAAGCCAGACACATCGAGACAGAGTTACCGAAGTCTCCAGAGGGCCAGACGGATGGAGAGAAGGAGGGGGGCAGAAAGGGGATGACACTCTGAGATCCTTGCTGCAGCACTTTCTGTTGCAGTGCGACACCTAAAGGACTCTTTGTGAGGCTGCTCCAAGAAAATATTGCTCAAACATTCTAACTGTCCACTTGTTCAATGCAAATCCATGAAAGACCCAGTCCACGTCATAACAGCAGAGATGCTTAGGGAATTTGACTCTTGCAAATTCAAATAGAATCTGACCTGATCTGCACCATAGACTATAACCTGTGCATCAGAACATCCTTTGGATTTCACATATCTCTGGATTTTGCAATGTAACACTTTGCTCAACGCATATCAAAATTCATATTAAAATTCATATTTTGAGACAAAGTCCATTTAGACATGCATATTTTGTGATAAAATTGACTCAAATGTGATTTAAAAAATAAAAAATAAAATATTCACTTAAATGTATATTTTCTTTGCAGATTTTTTTAAAAATGGGGGAATTGAATGGGACTGAGGAACAGGGGATTTCATTAGCATGACCAGTTTCTGAGCTCTGGATGCAGTACTGCGCCTACAATTTCAGATTAAAACTGCAGAAGAAGAAAAGGAGGACCTTTTTCTGCCTCCCCACTTCCAGCTACTCTCTGAAGACTGGAGAAGAGACCTTCTTAAGAATATTAGGGGGATGGGCAGAGGAAGGACTAGATGGACTAGACAATGCGAAAAATGAACATAATATTTTACCTGTAGTTCATTCATTTTCAGCTTTGTCTTCTTGTTATTAAAAAACGCACCTAGACACTCTGTTGTTGCACCCATAACCTAGGTTTAAGGTGCCATTTAGTTCCTAGCTTTCATATCACAGCTTCTAACACTGCTGAAGAATTAATGTAATGTAAAGTTTTTGTTTACATTGATAAATGTTCTCTCTTTGCTAGGGGGTGGGGTGGCCTACCAGAGCAAGCACCACCATTCATTTTTAAGAGTGAAAGGGGGGGCCTTTTCCAACTTGAGGGTATGTGAATCACATTTTCAACTTAACAGCCTTCCCCCAAGGATCCTATTCTTGTATTTGATGATTCACAGTGCTAGATACTGTATTTATCACACAAAAGAACTGGGGTTTTCCTTTAAAGCAAAACAAGAAGGTGGCAAACTTTTCACATGGTGGTACAGAAGACAACCGCCATACTACTTGCCACTCACCCATGCACATTACCTAGCATAGGACTCATTCCAACAGACCCATGTCCCTACTCTGCTGCTGGAGGATATGGAAAATCTACAAGATAAGGGATGCTCTATGTAGCTTAACTGCACTTGATGAGATGCAGATCAAGCTCCATTGCTGACTGGTGACATAATCATGCATTACTAATTTGATATTGCCCTGACTTTCAAAGGTAGCAAGAATCTAGTCACTAGAGTCTAGTGAATAGTCAATAGGAACTTTGTTCAGTATTCCTCTTCTTATTATTAAAGGTAAAGGTAAAGGACCCCTGACAGTTAAGTCCAGTCGCAGACAACTCTGGGGATGCGGTGCTCATCTCGCTTTACAGGCCAAGGGAGCTGGTGTTTTGTCCACAGACAGTTTTTCCGGGTCACGTGGCCAGCATGACTAAGCCACTTCTGGCGCAACAGAACACCGAAACCAGAGCAGCGCACTGAAATGCCGTTTACCTTCCCGCTGGAGTAGTACCTATCTATTTGCACTTTTTTGGTGTGCTTTCGAACCACTAGGTTGGCAGGAGCTGGGACCGAGCAACGGGAGCTCACCCCATCGCAGGGATTTGAACCACCGACCTTCTGATCGGCAAGCCCAAGAGGCTCAGTGGTTTAGACCACAGCGTCACCCGCGTCCCATTCTTATTATTAAGTCACAGCAAATATTTGTTAGCTGTATAATCCAATCTTAGCCACATTTACTTGGAACTAGGACCCACTTAGATCAGAGGGACTTACTTAGTTGCTGGTAAGTGTGCTTTGGATGCCACCTGTTTGAAATTTTGAAAGAACTTGGACTTGAGCATGTAATGGCACTGTGTTCTCCTCTTGCACAGAAACATATTGCCAAAGCTTATATACATATAGTACATGCATTAGTCATATTTACTGTGTATATTGTGAAGCGATTAACAGTTTTTCAAGGAATTAGCAGCTGTCAACACTAAGCACATTTAGTGAATGTGGAATGCACTGTCACATAAAAAACAAGAAAAAGACATTCACTTACAGGCCTTTAAAAATATCTCTTATGCAATGCAGGATCAAGTAAATAGTTTTCTTAGATTATGAATGTTCTTAAAAATTCACATTTTTACTTTGGGTGAATCTGCAGACACAAATATATATCTGGGATACTTGGAAACAAGTCACAAGATACATACAATGCACATTTAAAATGCAACCGCACAGTACACAGCTAGCTATGCTTCCACAGAGATCCCCAGTAGCAAAGCCATCAAGCAGAACATTGTTGATTCAAATATAACAGCCACATGTGCAGATTTCAACAGATTTATAATAGATAGCTTTAATTTATTTAAACTGTGTGCAAATGGAATGTAGCATAGACCCATGGGGTTTATTAAAGAGACCTAATGTTCCTTCTATAGCTCCCTGAAGGTGCAACAAACTTTGCCCACCATGATTGTGAAAGAAGTCAACTCTATGTGCACCATCGGTAATGAGAGCCAGGAAACCAGTACTGGTTATTTATAAGGGAAATTCATAAAATGCTGTGTCATATGCAAGAGGCTGGATCACCACCTGGCCATAAGGCAGTGTTAGAGCATATATGATCACTTACTTTCTTTTCTCCTGCCCTTCTGGAAGCCCTTTCCCCATGTCTTCACACCTTGTTGGCAATTTTGGGGTAAGCAGGATGGAATAAGAAAGGAGCATGGCTTCCCTATTCTCTTAGCTTACCTTTCTCTGCATTCTTCAGAAAGGCCAGCCATCTAAAGCTCAGATAGAACAAAGGAATATTTATGAACTTATGTGAAATAAATTCTATGTGTATGATTCCATGGCAAACTTGTAAGCAATGTAATTAAGTAACTTTGCAACTTTTGCTATTGCTTGGTGGAATTTCCTGCATTGTTAGATATTTCTTGGATTATAAGAGCAGTTGTGGCAGCAGGTATTGTCATATTTGATAATCATTCCAGGTTACCAAACCTCATGTGCAACCTCACTGATTCAGGCTATTGCTCTTTTTTTATTATTATTTGCCTGCCCCCCAATCCCAGCCCCACCCTGCAGCCTCCAGCAAGCAATACACCACCAATTCCTTCCAACCCTGGGCAAACTGCTCTCCAAGACTAGGGAAATGAAAACGACATATACTGAGCCAGCCTAAAACATTTTCCTGCCTGAGTAAAGGAGGGACAATGTCACCTACTGCCATTCCAAGTACAGAAGTCTACTGGGCTGGCAACTGAAACTGAGTTTAACACTGGTGTCAGGATAGCATCTTCCACTGCACCAGAAAACAGGACACAAGCATAGAGGGCACAGCATAGGCACATATAGCTTAGTCCTCCAAGACCTTGTCACCATTTCCTGTTCCCCAGGATTTGCTGCCTGGAATTACTGCCCCACTCTGCCTAATGGCAAAGCCAGAGCTAGATGCATGCTGTCTCATTGCTGGACTACCACCAGACACCTGAACAAAGCATTTGTGGGCATTCAGGCAGCTGGGAAACAATGTCTAGAGAGGGATGCAAGATAAATATTAAGACACTGCTTTCCCTCTTTATCTATGACAAAAGATTATTTCCTAACTCTATCATCAGGCCTCGTGTCAAATGGCTTATATGTTCTCTTTGCCACCCTTATTGTGGTCTTTGGTTTCTTTAGGTTGCAGGATTCAAAACCTTTGTGGGAATATAAAAATGTTACAAATCTAAGAGGAACTGCAAATTTCCATTTAGCCCAGATTTTTCTATCACCTGTATTTGGCAACATTTTTTCTTTATATGAACTTCCTATGCATTTTTTAAAAATAAATGCACAAAAATACTATTATAGTCGTTATCAAGTGTTTGACTTGTTTATTCACAGTTATTAGGTATACATTCCTGGGTAGCAGCACATATATTCTGTACGCACACAGTGAAATGATGATGGATATAAGCTGCCACTCACAAACTATAACAGACAGATCACATGGACTTAAACTAGCATAGCCCATTAACTGAAATCCAAGCAATCCAATATATTTGTGGTTTGGGCTCTCTATATAAAGATTCTGCTGTGTTTATATGCTTCTACACTACAGATACAATAGCTTTGATCTGTCTAGCAAAATCTGACTATAGCCTCCAATTCACCCTGCTGCAAATAAAAAAGAACAATATTTACTTTTATTTACTATGTAACTATGTATAAACTATGGATTTCAGAAAGAAACAGGAGAGGAGAAAACAAGACTGCTGAGGGAGACAGAGGGAATCTTAGCCTCTCGGCTCCAAGTCTCCTGTTCTTAAACACCTCGCTTTCGGCTGCTGAGGTTGCATCAGCTCCTGAGGTAGTATTTATAACTGTTTTTAAAACCTGATATTCCATTTCCAGTTGCTCTGTGGGGGTGAATTGAATCTGCAGGGCCCCCAGCCAAGCAGCTGCTGCCAGCATGATCCCTCTTCCCTCCACATCCTGCTCAGAAAAGCCTTCCTACCGTCAACCTGGTGCCATAGCTTACTGGCATGGTCTCTTTAATTAGCTGACCAGGGCCCTCATTAAAGAAATAGCTGGTTAAAGTCTGGATGGGGCCAAGGGGAGGATCTGTGCTATTGAGCAAATCATTTGTATGTCAAGGCAAGCTCCCTTCTTCCTTCCCTTTGGACTGGTCTCACCAAGAACTAGAGGATATGTAAAGATTTTTAAAGAATTGTCATCTTGGCTTTTTATTTGTTTATAAAAATAGTTATATATCTCTATTCACACAAAAAATCAGAGTGGTTTACAACAATTACAAATAAAACCATGCAATAAAAAATAACAAATTAAAATCGGAAATCAGCCAACTATTGTGGAAAGATGTATTCTTAATTACCTGCATAAGCCTGATGGAACAGAAAAGTTTTCAGGAGTTTAAAAGTTGAAGCAGAAAATACCTGCTAAATCTCTATTGGCAGAGAATTCCACAATACTGGGCCAATGACACTAAAGGCTTCGTTTCTTGTTATTGTCAAATGTGTACCACCAATTCAGGGAACGACCAACAATGCTCTTGCAGATGATCCCAGTAATCAAAATGGGATAGAAGTATGCAGGGCAAGAAAGAGATGTAGGGTTCTTTCACAGAACCTATTGCAAACCCTGCTCCTCAGTGACATGAACCAGAATTTCTCCCAGTGTACAAATGAATTTCTACATGAATGGTTTGTGATACTGGTATATCTGTCTGTAGTTTGCATAGGTTTTCATGCTGGGTGGGGCATGTTCACAGACAAGTGAGATGTGTTCCCATTCAAGAGGGAGAGTAGTTGAGCTGTGGACTCACACCTCACAGTCAGTGCTCAAGCAGAAGGCAGGCACAATGGACTCTGTACATGAGGAGCTCGAAAGAAGGGGTCCTTTGCTTGCTGTTGTGCCATAACTATTCTCCTATTGAGGAGCTCTATATGGTTCCTGAGGCAATTTTTTAAAAATTCCCTTCACTCTGTGTTATAAATACTGTCGCCGGAAGACCCCCCCCCCCCCTTCATTACACTGTAATGCACAAGCACCACACACCTCCCATCTCCCTAAACAGGGTGATGCCCCTTCTAGAGGGGCATCACCTCAACGGGCAATAGCCTTCCGTAAATAAGGAAGCGCTGATTTCCTTTAAAATAGCCTTTATTTCTATGCATTTCCTCCACGTTCCGCTCTGCCCTATCTTTATTATGAGTAGACCGGGCGCATAAACTCCAGGTCAGCCGGCAGCCGTTTCAGCCAATCAGTGTTACCGAACAGCGCCCCTTGTGGCGGCCACGCTGGTACTGCAGGCAGCGGACCCTCGCTTCTCTGTCTTTGACAGCTTCCTAATACAAAGTTTCCGGGTTCAATTGACCGTGACTGATTTAATCAAAATGTAGCAACCACTTCCTGAGGAGTGAAAGTGCTTGAACTTCAGCGGCCGTATTCTTCATAAATTCACCATAAATCAACCGTACGTCGGATTTTCATCGGACCACTTTTATTCTACTCCATATTTCAAGGACTGTCAAAGGGGGGTGGCTTGTTGCCAGTCAGCCATAATCCCTTGACCGAGCAGGCACGTACTCTGCAGCCCTTCCCCTGTTGACACAGCAACCTTGATAGTCGCCTTGATGGGCTCAGACGAAAGACTATCAAGGACACAATGAACTGCATATGCTAGTGTATTCAGCACGGACTATGACAAAAGAACTGTGACCGGAGTCCCCTCAGGGGGCAGGAAACTGCGCCCTTCCCTTTGTTCTCTGGAAAGGCTTATGGCGAGGAGGGGAGGGGGACCCTGCCAGGTGTCAGGATACTCGGATTACCTGTGCGACCCCTCCTCCGACTCCTCCCGTTTTTAATGTAGTCATGATGTAAATATGATGTATTTCTGGGGGTGTAACTTAGGGGATTAGGAACTAATAAAAGTTGGGGTCTTCTTTTGTTCGGGGCTTCCATCTTGCTTCACCTCGTGGGCGGTGGGAGTCCTGTCGCGACAGTCTTTTTCTCCAATAAAGACCAAGCCTACAGGCTGCTGATTTGCTTCCAATTGCTCTGGTTGGTGTCTTTGTTTTTGTCCAAGGGAGCCCTCAGATTTTCCGTTAACAGTTGGCGACCGTGCTCAGGGACACTTGGTTCTCCTGTAGAGGTGAGGAGGGAGAAAAGAGGGGATCGGGCGCCACTGGGCAGCCTTAGCCCAGGGATCTTTTCTCCTCTCCCTGCCTCCCTTTGCGGGCGGTAATCAACCGTCACCGAAAGCTCAACCAGGGAAGCAAAGGCAAGGTCACGCCGGCTAAAGGGAAAGATCCCGGGATCTTCGAGGGACATCTGGGAACGTGAGTATGGTTTGAAGGAAATACATTGGGAGGGGTGACGAAAGCAACGTCCCCACGACAGCTGGACTTTTTCTTCCTTCTATCTCTGGCGTTACCTCTCGGAGTCGTCCAGGAACGTCCTAAACTTTCTCTGTCTCTCCCCTATTTACCTATCGGAGCTGGGCCGGGGAAATTGTGGGATCTTTGTTGTATTCCGACGTTACCTCTCGGAGTCGTCCAGGAACGTCCTAAACTTTCTCTGTCTCTCCCCTATTTCCCCTTCGGAGCTGGGCCAGGGAAATTGCGGTATCTTTGCTGCATTCCGACGTTACCTCTCGGAGTCGTCCAGGAACGTCCTAAAAAAATATCTCTCCTTTTCTCCCCCGTTTTCCCCTTCGGAGCTGGGCCAAGGAAAACGCGGTGCTTTGCTGTTTCTCTGACGTCCTCCCTCGGAGTCGCCCGGAGGCGTCCATCCAAAACCTCCCTCTCTCCTTTTCTCCCCCGTTTTCCCCTTCGGAGGTGGGCCAGGGAAAACGCGGTACTTGGCATTTCTCTGACGTCCTCCCTCGGAGTCGTCCGGAGGCGTCCATCAAAAAATCTCTCCTGCGCTCTCTCTCTCTCTCTCTCTCTCTCTCTCTCCTCCTTATGCAAATGAAGCCGCCCCTCCTGCTTGGCGACCCTTGTTGGGGATGACCCGGGTACGTGAGAACGCAAGGTCATTTGCTTCCTTTCAAAACTTTGTTTTCTCGGACCTCGATCTGGCACTGCATTGCGCAGGCGTCCAGTAGGGAGCCCGACCCTAGTTTAAAGGCTAGGTAGGAGGCTGTCGAGGGGAACAGAACGGGAGGTACACAAAGTGGGGCCCCACACTAGGGTTAGTCTTGTAAAACAGCGCTGAGGTAAAGGAATACTGGATCCGTGGTTAGGAATTCGGGCGAGGAGACCCGTGGTTAGGAATTCGGGCGAGGAGACCCGTGGTTAGGAATTCGGGCGAGGAGACCCGTGGTTAGGAATTCGGGCGAGGAGACCCGTGGTTAGGAATTCGGGCGAGGAGACCCGTGGTTAGGAATTCGGGCGAGGAGACCCGTGGTTAGGAATTCGGGCGAGGAGACCCGTGGTTAGGAATTCAAGTTCATGTCTGAGATTTTTATAGATAGGTAGAAATTGAGTTACTCAAGGATACTTCAAGTACTGAAAGGATATTTTCTCTTTCCCCCTGCCCCTCCTTTTTCTCCCTCCCTTCTTCCATCACCCCCCCTCTCCCCTTGTGTGTGTGCCCACTCTTTCTGTCCCTAGTGTACTGCAAAGAATGGGGGCCCATGCTTCCAAGCATTCAGGCTGGACTCCTCCAGGCGGCAAGGCTTCCGCGGAGCCTTTCCGCCCGAGAGAGGACTCTGATACCCCTCTTCAATTTGTTCTATTAAACTGGAAAGAGTTGAGAGGGAGGAAAGGACTCTCAAAGTCCAAATTAAGGGACCTTTGCAACATCTCGTGGGTCGCTTTCACCCACCATCTAGAGCCGGCCTCCCAATGGCCACCCCACGGTTCCTTTAATCTTGTGAAGATGCAAGCACTTAAGTCGTATCTAGCAGACGAGAAGCCCCGGCAACTGTATTATCTCAATGCCTTCGTTGAAGCCCGTGAATTGTTTCAGCGACAGCAGACTCAAATCGTTCGGCAAATGGCTGTTTTAAAAACGACCAGGCCTCCCCCATATGACGAAATTAGAACCCAGGAGGAACAATTGGATAGAACCCTCGTTTCTTTCTACTACCCCGAACCACAAGCCCCCCGACCGCCTGAATCCGGGGCAAGAGACAGGACAGGAGCCGATGGGGGAGGCGGCGCGGGACCCGGGGAAAACGTAATTAATCCACCCACCGCTGCCCCCTCTCGAGCCGCACCAAGTGCATCGTCGCCTATCCCTTCCACAAGTGCGACCAATATAGGAAACCACATAGATTCAGACCTAGAACCCACACCTAACGGACAGCTTCTCAACGGAGAAAGGGAGGGACCCGTCTCCAGTAGAACTCGAAATAGGGATAATCTGCCGAACGGCGAAGTAGAGGGAGCCTTTCCCCTAAGAGCATTGCCTATACCCCCAACCAGGGCAGGAGACCCACCCCGCATGGTTTTTACTCACCAACCCTTCCTCACTTCGGACTTAATGAACTGGTCTGACAAGATGCCCTCCCTACGGGATGACCCCGACAAATGTCACCGCCAGGTGGCCACCATCTTTTCCACCCACAACCCAACGTGGGCGGATGTACATATGTTACTCGGGGCTCTTTTAACGAGGCAGAAAAGAGGGAAATACTGACAAAGGCAGGAGAAGCTTTAGCGCGGGAAGGCTACCAACCGGACCGACCTGCCTCGATGGCCCCCCTGACCACCCAGACCCTACTAAATGACCCCGACTGGAACTATAACACTGACAACGGCATATGGGGTTTAAAAATTTTTAAGAAAGCCATCCTAGATGGTATTAAAGCTGCGGGACAGCGAACCGTAAACTGGACCAAAGTCCAAGCCGTCCTTCAAGGACCTGATGAACATCCATCTGACTACTACTCAAGGCTAGTCTCAGCCATTAAGACCTGGGGGGGAATAGATCCGGAGAGCCCCCAGCACGAAGTAATAGTCAAAGGATTTTTTAAAGATCAAGCTACACCCGACATTAGAAAAGCATTGAATTCGCACCTAGGGTATGATGGAAAAACCATAAATGAAATCCTTTCCATCGCTAAATCCGTCTTCAACACAAGGGATGAACGGAAAAGAAAAGACCAAAGGCCCGATCTCCCACGGGTGTTAGCCTACGCGGCTGGGGTTCCTAACCCCAAAGAAAAATTTAAGTCATGGGGACCTGAACTACTAGATGACCGCGTTTGCTACAACTGTAATGAAGTAGGACATATTAGAAGAAATTGCCCCCTTGTGACAGGATCCAAAAGGATCGAATATAGAAATCCAAGACCACACCAGTCTGACTACAGGGAAACCACCCACCCCAGGTACAGGGAGTCTACCACCCCATACCGACCTAATCAATCCCCAACCCGAACGCAACCCTACTCGGAACCCCCTCCTCCACAACCGCGACCACGAAATCAACCCCACGAAGCTATCAACCCCTTTAAACAGGGCGGTCGCCCCACAAACCCAACTCATGAGATGGTAATGGAGGAATACCAGGCGCATTGACAATTAGAAGCAGATCCCGCCTCCTTTTCTTTCCTATGCCCAGTCTTACAACTATCCTCTTCCGACCCCATATGCACTATGCAAATTGATGGCCAGTCGTATGATTGTCTCCTAGACACTGGGGCCACCTACTCCACCCTTACGAATAGCCATTTAGCACCGGGAGACGAAACCAGAACCGTAGTAGGACTTGATGGAATCCCCCGGAACTGCCCCCTTTCCAAGCCTGCGAGAGTCTCCGTCGGACCTCTATCGGTTAAACATACTTTCCTACTAACTTCCAGCCCAGTTAACCTCCTGGGGAGGGATCTGCTATGTAAGTTGAACGCTACTATACAATGCGGCCAAGAAGGGATTTACTTGCACATGCCGAACGACTCCATTTTCAACTTCCAAGGGGTTCTTCAAGAAGCTAACAACAAATTCCCTGACCTTCCTTCCGAGCTTCTTAATAGCGTCCCCTCTTGGTTATGGGGAACTGAATCAACATCCGTAGGACTCCTAAAGTCGGCAACCCCAGTAAAAGTTAACTACAGGAAAGACCTACCATTCCCCTGTACAAAACAATACCCTTTGCCTCCTGAAGCAATCGAAGGACTTACCCCAATGATTGATGAATTTTTGAAAATGGGAATCCTAGTTCCCTGTGCCTCCCCATGTAATACCCCGCTTCTCCCCGTCAAGAAGCCAAACACTAACCCTGTCAAATGGCGCCTCGTCCAAGACCTTCGACTCATCAACTCTTTCGTTATCCCCAGACACGCTGTTGTAGCCAACCCCCACCACCTTTTGAGCACGATCCCGGAGGGAACTGTCGTCTACTCCGTCATAGACCTATGTTCCGCCTTCTTTAGCATCCCCGTGGACCCAGAAAGCCAATTCCTCTTTGCCTTTACCTGGCAAACCGGTCAATTAACATGGACTCGGTTACCCCAGGGATACGTGGAATCTCCGGCAATCTTTTCTTCCATATTACACCAGGACTTACTAGACGTGAACCTTCCGGGAGGCTCCGCCCTCAGGCTCTATGTGGATGACATTTTACTTTGTGGGCGGGACTTGGAATCCTGTAAGTCAGACACTATAGCCCTCCTGACAATACTCGCGCACAAGGGACACAAAGTATCCCCCAAAAAGATACAGTACTGCCAAAAGGAAGTGAAATATCTTGGCCACATCCTTGGAGAAGGCACCCGTGCCCTCGCCACAGACAGGATTGAAGCCATAACAAAGCTGCCCCTCCCCAAGACTAAGAGGCAGCTCAGGGGCTTCATCGGGATGAGTGGGTTTTGCCGAGCATGGATCCCCCGCTACGGAGAATTCACTCGCCCCCTTACCGCAATGACACACGACAATGCCCCAGACCACTTGCAATGGAGTGCAGAGGCACTCGAAGCCTTTGAATCTATCAAACGGGAACTGAGGTCTTCACCTGCCCTCGGACTCCCCGACTATAGACTACCTTTCTCTTTATTCGTCCATGAAAATAAAGGAGTAGCCTCGGGTGTCCTTACGCAACCTTTTCAGGGAAGGAACAGGCCCGTCGCTTACTACAGCCTTCAACTGGACACTACCGTAATGGGAAATGTGGGGTGCCTTAGAGCAGTAGCAGCTGCAGCACTACTTCTTGAAAAGGCGCAGGAGACCGTCTTAGGACATGAACTAACCGTAAATGTTCCCCATGCCGTGGCCACCCTCCTCAGCTTGCAAGGATGCCAACGCTTCACGATCCAAAGACTGAATAGATATGAAGCCATCCTCCTTAGTCCGTCTAATGTTACCATAAAAAGGGTGAACTCCCTTAATCCGGCAACCCTCCTTCCCCTCCCTGACGATGGCACCCCGCACCACGACTGTTCTCAGGTGGTCCGACACGCTGAAAAACCACGTGAGGACCTCGACTATCTTCCCTTAAGCAACCCCGATCTTATATTATACACCGACGGGAGCTCAAAAATTGTGGGAGGGGAACGGAAAAGTGGATATGCAGTTGTCAGCGACACTGACATCCTTGAAGCGCGTCCTGTCCATGCTAGGTTTAGCGCACAGGCTGCAGAACTTATCGCCCTGATCCGAGCCTGCGAATTAGCAACAGGACAGAGGGTCACTATTTACACAGATTCTAAATATTGCTTTGGGTTAGTTCATGCCACCGGACAAATCTGGCTACAGAGGGGTTTTCTGACCGCTGCAGGCACCCAAATAGCCCACGCACCTCTAGTACAACGCCTTATGGATTCTATACATCTTCCAGAAGAAATAGCAGTAGTCCATTGCAAAGCCCATACCAAGGGAAAAGACCCAGTATCAATGGGGAACCGCTGTGCTGACCGCGTGGCACAAGAAGCAGCTCTCCAACCACTGTCTGCAGATGGTGAATTTCAGGGACCCCAGGTTCCGTCGGACGTAGACTTTAACCTAATGTATAAAACCGCCACCCCAGAAGAAATAAAGGGATGGGAAGAGCAGGGAGCTCTCTTCAGCAACGGCATATGGTACTTCCCCGACAAAAGACTCATAATGCCCCGGCTCTGGGTACCCAAACACATAAGAATACTACATCAGTGTACCCACTGGGGAAGGGACAAACTCATAGACTCTGTCCAACGCTGCTGGTATGCTCCAGGACTGGCTCTGGCTGCAAAATCAGCAGTAAAGAATTGTCACACCTGCCAAACCTTTAATCCAAAGCATACTGCCAGATGTCCGCCAGGAGCCAGACCGTGGGCTTTTGTCCCTTTCGAAAGCCTTCAAGTCGACTTCATAGACCTACCCCCTTGTCAGGGCTACAAGCATGCCCTTGTCATTATTGATCAATTAACAGGATGGGTGGAATGTCTCCCGACTCGCCGAGCTACTGCCCAAATGGTTGCAAAAACCCTACTACATGAAATAATACCGCGTTTCGGGGTTCCGAGACACATAGACAGTGACAGGGGCTCACACTTCACTTCCGACGTAGTCCAACAAGTCGCTAAAGCCCTAGGGATCAAATGGAGATTGCATACCCCATACCACCCCCCTTCCTCAGGGCAGGTTGAACGAATGAATCAACAATTAAAGTCCCAGCTAGGAAAGCTCTGCAGGGACTCTGGAATTAAGTGGGTCAATGCCCTCCCCTTGGTTCTACACAATCTCAGAGCATGCCCCCGTGGGAATCTGAACCTATCTCCTTATGAACTGCTTTTTGGAAGACCCTCCCCCGTGTATAGCACGCAATTCCCCCCATCAGAACTAGAGGTAGGCGAGTCTGAATTGACCAAATATATAATACAGCTCCAGAAGCAACTCATTGTTCTCCACAGATACGCGGCAGCAGGCCAGAACCTACCCCTCGACGAGAACATCCATCCGTTCCAACCAGGGGACTGGATATTGGCAAAGACTTACCAGAAGGTACCCCTACAACCTACCTGGGAAGGACCTTACCAGGTCCTTCTCACAACCCCCACCTCCGTCAAAGTAGCGGAGAAGTCGGCCTGGCTGCATCATACCCGCTGCAAACCTTCTTCACCACCTGACCTTACCGACGACAACGCACCCTACACCACCCCCCCACAACCGCCAGAGGACGAAGCCGACATAGAGGTAGCCCAACAGACCGGACCAGATCGGGGCACGAATCGGGCCCAACAGACCGGACCAGATCGGGGCACGAATCGGGCCCAACAGACCGGACCAGATCGGGGCACGAATCGGGCCCAACAGACCGGACCAGATCGGGGCACGCATCGAGCCCTACAGACCGGACCTGCTTTAACGTCATCACCGACCCATTGGACCTCCGAAATCGTCCCCACAACGAACAGCCAAGAGCACCCACCGATCCGCCTCCGACTCCGAAAAGCATCACAGCTCGCCGCTTGACAACTCGCGCTTGACAGCTCGCCTTTGACAGCTCGCCGCTTGACAGCTCGCGTTTGACAGCTCGCCGCTTGACAGCTCGCCTTTGACAGCTCGCCGCTTGACAGCTCGCCTTTGACAGCTCGCCGTTTGACAGCTCGCCGCTTGACAGCTCGCCGTTTGACAGCTCGCCGCTTGACAGCTCGCCGTTTGACAGCTCGCCTTTGACAGCTCGCCGTTTGACATCTCGCCTTTGACAGCTCGCCTTTGACAGCTCGCCTTTGACAGCTCGCCGTTTTTGACAGCTCGCGCCCTCCCTCATCATGCTCCCCATAAAATGCATCATGCCTGCTTCCTTCCTCCTCCTCATGTTTCCCATTCTTACCGCAACATCCACTGCCATGAACACGCATGCTTCATGCCCAGGAATACAAATCGAACATCAATACCTGCATTTCGGAATTGTGGACATGGTAAAAAGAGGAACCTTAGACCGCCTCGGGGACTTTGACTTTTGCATACCAGAGACCCGTGTCCTACTCCGCCATTCCATACTGCCCACCATGACCACACACCAGACTTGGGAACTGTTTATCCGCTCTTCAAATTACACCCTACTCGGTAAACTTATACTCGGTAGAGATGGCCCCTGGAATCGAGCCCGCTGTATAAACGGCTCCTATACACTATTCTCAGACGGTGTTCCCCAACAATCACTGAACTGGACAAACTTGGATAATGGTGGGGGCGAATCAGTTTACACTGACCATAATCATCCAACCAACCGTCTTATCCACGGGTTTTATTGCCAAAGGGTAGACACGGCACCCCGCCCCACCACCCTACAAGGAGTCTGCCTCCGGAGGTACTGCTGCGTGTGGGACATTGGCCTTGCCTCTACTTGGGACGGCAGAGCATACCTTGAGGGATGGTACCACTCCACCACACCACCAACCCAGTGGGATACCTCCGGCCCTCAAAGATGTGGCGGTCTAGCTACAAATCTCACCTACCTACTTCGACAAGACCCCCTCCACCCTGCGGGTACAGCACCTCGACAAAGGGGGGAACTGTCCATATCCCAAGCTCCAACCAATAGCGACCTATTGTCCACCTGGCATTCCAACACCTACGTGAAACTAGTCTCTGAAATCGCAAAGCAAACTACCACCGACAACTGCTGGATCTGTGCCAACGCTCCTGCCCACCTCCACAGCGGCATACCATTCCTTGGAGTACCCCTCACCTTACAACAACATCTTTCTGCCGATGTACGGTCCTGGAACTTGACTGCTGTGAACTTAACTCACCAGTACATTTACCTCACTGGACCCACGAAAGGTGACCTCTGCCGGAAATTCAGCGGCAACGACAGGATGATTGGAGAAAGTACTTGTAAGTACCTCATTGATATTCCCCTAATCGGTAAAATTACTGTGTGGCGACAGGGCGTCCCCCTCCACCCATCCAGACCTGTTGTCAGCCTGGAAACAAGTCATGAATTTACCTGACACTTGGGACCCCTCCCCCAGCTCCCACTGCTTCTTCCGCACCTTTCTCACGGGTCGTATAGACTCTTGCCTACAAGGACTGTTTTGGGTGTGCGGGCACCGCGGCTATGTATGGGCTAGCCCCCACTCCCGAGGCACCTGCTACCTTGGACTTATCTTGCCCGGGATCAGGGTCACCCCAGACCTTCCCCTTGGGAGGAGGCGCAACAAGAGGGCTAAGGATTTGTCGGAACTCTCCGATGTGTCAGCCAACGGGGAGACCTATGGACGGGCCCTTTTTCCCGCCTACGGAGCAGGCTCCAACCATGTCGACATCCTTAAACTAACAGACATTTTGTTAACCTTTATGGAGGAATCCAACGCTGCAACCCAATCCATCTTAACGGAGCTAACTGAGGTCAGACAGATGGCGATCCAGAACCGCCTTGCTTTGGACTATATCCTAGCTTCAACCGGAGGAGTATGTGCACTTGTGGGAACTGAGTGCTGCACATACGTCTCCGACCAGACGCTGAACATTACTGGTCATCTCAACAACATCCATAAACTGACTGACGATCTTAGAAATATCCAACACGAAGGTCTGTCTGATACCCATCTTTGGGGATGGTTACCAGGCACCACATGGATAAAACAGCTCCTCGGAAATGGCCTCCTTATTCTAATCGCCGTAGCCATCTGTGTCGCTTTCTTCTGCTGCGCCGTCCATTGCTTTCCACTTTGCTGTCAAACGTGCGAATACTGCGTCCCATCTCCCCACTCCCGCACCGCTGCTTCCCAGAGGATGATCCCGGCGGGAACCCCTTCGACCTTCATCGAGATGGCACCCCAAGGAGCCCAGCACAACCCGGACCCTAGGTATGGCGCGTCAGACTTTTATTAAGCTTGTGCGGAGAGAAGGATTGCACGGTGCCCACCTTCGCAATCTTATCTCCGAAGGGGGGAACTGTCGCCGGAAGACCCCCCCCCTTCATTACACTGTAATGCACAAGCACCACACACCTCCCATCTCCCTAAACAGGGTGATGCCCCTTCTAGAGGGGCATCACCTCAACGGGCAATAGCCTTCCGTAAATAAGGAAGCGCTGATTTCCTTTAAAATAGCCTTTATTTCTATGCATTTCCTCCACGTTCCGCTCTGCCCTATCTTTATTATGAGTAGACCGGGCGCATAAACTCCAGGTCAGCCGGCAGCCGTTTCAGCCAATCAGTGTTACCGAACAGCGCCCCTTGTGGCGGCCACGCTGGTACTGCAGGCAGCGGACCCTCGCTTCTCTGTCTTTGACAGCTTCCTAATACAAAGTTTCCGGGTTCAATTGACCGTGACTGATTTAATCAAAATGTAGCAACCACTTCCTGAGGAGTGAAAGTGCTTGAACTTCAGCGGCCGTATTCTTCATAAATTCACCATAAATCAACCGTACGTCGGATTTTCATCGGACCACTTTTATTCTACTCCATATTTCAAGGACTGTCAAAGGGGGGTGGCTTGTTGCCAGTCAGCCATAATCCCTTGACCGAGCAGGCACGTACTCTGCAGCCCTTCCCCTGTTGACACAGCAACCTTGATAGTCGCCTTGATGGGCTCAGACGAAAGACTATCAAGGACACAATGAACTGCATATGCTAGTGTATTCAGCACGGACTATGACAAAAGAACTGTGACCGGAGTCCCCTCAGGGGGCAGGAAACTGCGCCCTTCCCTTTGTTCTCTGGAAAGGCTTATGGCGAGGAGGGGAGGGGGACCCTGCCAGGTGTCGGGATACTCGGATTACCTGTGCGACCCCTCCTCCGACTCCTCCCGTTTTTAATGTAGTCATGATGTAAATATGATGTATTTCTGGGGGTGTAACTTAGGGGATTAGGAACTAATAAAAGTTGGGGTCTTCTTTTGTTCGGGGCTTCCATCTTGCTTCACCTCGTGGGCGGTGGGAGTCCTGTCGCGACAGTCTTTTTCTCCAATAAAGACCAAGCCTACAGGCTGCTGATTTGCTTCCAATTGCTCTGGTTGGTGTCTTTGTTTTTGTCCAAGGGAGCCCTCAGATTTTCCGTTAACAATACAAAATGACCTGGTGAAAAGGGACAGCATTACAAGCAACAGCATCAATCACACACCTATTAAATCTACAAAGCAACTTGTCAAAATAACTGCAATTCATAAACTTTGACACCACAGGCAGTTCAGAAACAGGACATTGGATCCTTTACCAGAGTATAAATCCTCCCAACAACAACCCACTGGTATCTCTGTGGCCATCCTCAGATTGTCACCCAGCCATCTCCAAAAATCAAACATATTGAAGGATTTTTAATGAAGATATTTATTCATTGGCAGCACATACTTATTTACTTTTCTGCCAAAGTAAGAATAGGAATTTAACAATTAAAATTACTTCATTTTTCCTCTATCATGCAATATATCAGTTTCATAAAATGATATTTTTATTCACTGTGTCTCTGCATCATCATTACATTTTCACTTATTTAAATAACCAACGAAATCTAAGACATAGCTATCCCTTAAAGTGATGCAGCTAGAGATTTATTTACATCAGCATTCCTCAACCTGAGGCCCTCCAGATGTTTTGGGCTACAGTTCCCATCATCTCTGACAATGGACCATGCTTGCCAGGGATGATGGGAGCAGTAATCCAACAACACACAGAGGGCATAATACTAGCTACCTCTTTTTCATGTTTTCATTCATAAGTCTGTCCTGCACCATTTCCTCATTAATCTGTCATTTGTTTTGAAATATGTTTTTGAATGTAGTTCCTATCAAAGTATACATTTTAAAATACATTTTGATGAATATTTTTTGAGCCAGGAACCCCTTTTCAACATTCAGAAGAGTATGAAATACAATGAATAGCTATGTTCCATTTCACACCTGGGTGGTATGGTTCAGGTCAGTTTGCACTGGAATTCACAAAGATCAAGTGTCCCTCAATGCAAGTTCCCTCCTCCTTACATCAATTTTGTATAGGTACTGACCATAGAATCACAATATTTCTACTTACTACACACACTGCTGAATATACACCTCTTTACCCTGGCTTTTGACACCTGAGAAGTTTATTTTTAGGAGTCATTTTATTTCTGTTATTGTAAATGGTTTAAAACTCTTTCCAACATTGCGTTTTGATTGTTGTAGCCCATCCATGGACCTTGGGCTGCAGGGCAGTTAAATGATAATGATAATGATAAAGAGGGTAACAGAGAATGGCATATGGAAATTTTGACCCAGGCCTTCAGTAATAGAAAATGTGATAATATTCAATACACGACATCTCTGCACACATTAGAAAGACAGAAGCCAGGCTATAATCAGTTAACTTTGCAAGGATGGAAGAAGATACTGATAGATTTCACTAAGGAACTTTACACTAGACATTTTACAGTGAAAGTACTTCCTCTTCTGAGTTCTCACTGGCATCTGTTCAAATAACTTTGTGGAATATTTTGGGCAGAAAAACTGGGTTTAAAATTTCTCTTATCTTTTCCTGAGCACCTGCCCCAATTCTCACCTAATATCACAGGATGATGACAGTAAATATCCTTGGGATGGAATTAGATGACAAGTCTTGAATGTCAGTGATAGGAAATCTGTACTTCCAGCCCACATCCACCACAGGACATGAACTTGCTAGAGCCAAGACATAAACTGTTAAGAGCCCAGTTGGGGGAGAGGAAGGCCACATAACTTGTGAGATAATGATACTATAGGTAACTCTTTCCTCATAGGATCCCAACCACACTACCCATATTATGTTTTTATTGAACTGAATTTTTGTTTGATTGCAGCTGGATCTATGCAAAATGAGATAGTGTTTTCATCTACGTCTGTTCAGGATGGTGTACAATAATCACATTTGTTCCTTAAGTTCATGCATTTACAAGTGACCACTGTAATATTTCATTACTTTGATTTCACATTCAGACATTACCACTACTTCACAGTAGAATCAGATTACATATTCACTTGATAGTCTCAAATTTAGCTTTTATATCATCTTCTACGATTAGATTTTTGATGCAAATAATAGAGACCTCTATGCTTGGAAATAGGATGCAACAAACTCATTAACACCATCACCTCAATTTAATTGACTATGTGGCTTATGAGGCACATCTGTCCCACAAGACATTAGTATTTGACAAAGGTTTGACTCAAATTACATAACAATGCCATATAAAAAATTATCTATGATGCTAGCACCATATCTGAGCCCTACACATACAGCATTAGCATGTCAGGAATCCATAGCCTGCATGAATACCAAGCTGGCAAACCCAGATTCCATATGTAGAAACCAGCTACCTGACAGGAAAAGCAGGAGTTTAGCAAAACTTCCAGTTATCGAGAAAGTAAAAGATTGAAGGGGCGTGTGGTTTGCTTTTGAGCAAAATGGTAGTATAGTGCCAAATCTTCCAAACTCACAGGGAATAAACATTGTTTGATGACCTGCTGAGCATAAGCAAATCTTCCTAACCAACAAGATCATATACGGGATGCAGCAAGGGAAACAGGCAACAATCCCTAAAAATCAGTGAAAATTCCTCCATAAGCCCCAGATCTTCTGACTTCTTTGACCAAGATAGCAACATCAGCAGTGTGTGGAAGCCCAAAAGTCAAGGGCAGGAAATCTACAAGAGCACTGACAGAGGAGAATTGGGCATCCCTAACATAAGCTGGTAGCATGATGCAATACACAGCATGATGCAGAATTCACCTCAAATTTTATGGAGCAGCATAGGTCCTTTATAAAACAGTCCAGATAGCCCTACAGTCACTCCAGGACAACTTTAGCATAAGTCCATTATTCTCTTACCAGCAAAGACACCGTATAAACAACCTGCTAAGAATATATAGCATTTCTGTACATAGCTTCAGTGTTAATCTGACTTTGACTCCTAGTTGTAGCACACAATAAATGCAGAAACATAAAATACAAGAGAAACTGGTGTAAACTCCCAAGAATAATGAAATAGTCAATGGATAGAGAACCTGAAGAGAGAGAACCTGACTAATTACTGAACGTGGAATAAGTTATTCATTTTGTACTAAAACTTTATTTACCTTGTATTTAGGAAGAGGACAGGAGATTATTACAAATCTGAAAAATACTCCCCCCCCCCTCAAATAAAAAAGAGTGTTGAAATATTACAAATGAATCAAACTGCTTTGGCCTATATATTTTACTGGGGAAAAGGAGGTAAAGGCAAAAATCTGGTTCTACAACTCTCTAGCACTTGAGGCCTCTTCCATGCGGTGCCACTATTCATCCATGTGGTGATCACCAGCAGGTGACGACAGCTTAGAAATGTGCATGCAACAGGGTTACAGGGAGAAACGGTGGAAGGAGCAAGAGAGCTTTCAACACTCTGGATGCACCAATGTGTGACAAATCATCTTGACTTTCAAGAAGACCAGCAGAAACACTGCACCCCTGCTGGAAGGCAAGAGATGAAACCCACAACTCAATTTTTCCTAGCACTCAAGTGGGTTTCTCTGTGGCACCCGTTGTCCTCTTAATTCTTTTTTCTATAGTATGGAAACCCAAAAACACTCAGACTTTTTAAAAAAACAACAACAACCAAAACCATAGTTCATCCCCTCCAGTCCAATTCACGCTAGCTTCCCATAGTTAAACTCCAGGCATGGGCAACAAAATATCAGAATGCCTACAGAGCAATCCCTGTGTGTTGTGCTAGTTCGATTGTCAGACTTATTACCTGGAAGATCAGGCTTCAAATCCTCAGTTGGCCATGGTGACCTTGGGCCACTCACTGCCTCTCAACCTAGCCTACTACACAGGGTTGTTGTGAGGAAGAAGTTGCAAGGTTGTTAAATGAGGGGGAGGAAAACTGTGTGCACCACCTTGAGCTCTTTGGAAAAAAGGAAAAAAAAGAAAAAAGGGATTCAAGTAAGTAAGTCAAGTTACTTGCTACAGGAGTGGGGGGGGGAGAGAGAGCGCAAAATAACATGCTATAGCATTGTCAAAACTTATCACAGTTTATTTAAAAACATATATTTTTTCCAAGGGAATACAAGGTAGGTTTTAAGATACAATATTTGTAGGAGGAAAATGCAACTTTTCACACTTCTACAGAATTTTTTTGTCATACAGTACACCTTATGTATAGGCTGGGACAGAACAACTGTAGCCAAAGGGTGACAAGACTTTACAGTGACTAAAAAGCTCCCTTTTCATGCTGGTTGGGTGGTTCAAGGACAGGGCAGACCAACATTTTATATCAGGTAGGCTGCAAGAGTACTTTGACACTGCATGCGCAGGCCTCACACTGCCTTGTCACAAAGGTGGGGGGGGGTGAGGCAAAAATTTGACACGCCCCCCCCCCAAGCTCTCACACTGCCTTCCCAAAGCTGGCTAAGCTAGGCACAAGGCTCTGGCAGGGTCCTGGACCCTCCTATCTCCCTCCCAAAGTTGGGAAAGTGCTAACTAGGCTTTGGGAAGGTGGAGGGAAGACTCTAGGACCCTGTCAGAGCCCACACACCTCCTTCCCAAAGGCCAGCACCTCGCTTACCCAGCTTTGGGAAGACAGTACAAGGGCTGGGAAGGGGGCATCTAATGTTGCCAAGGGCTGCCAAAAAAGGCATAGGGGGCCGTGTGTGGCCCTCAGACTGTGCGTTGGACCACCTGTTCTATGACATTAGAGACAGGGACTGTGTTGTGACTGCTGGAGAAACAGTAACAAGTCTTCAGCCCCACACCACTACACCTCTGCTCCCATCACAACTACCTATTTCAAGAGATGTCAACTGATAGGGGAAGATATATATATATATATGGAAATTACAGCCTCAATATCACACAGTCATGCTCCATAATGAATCCTACACCTTCACCCTGCAAACTGCTTAATGCTGGGCATATAAGCTACTTAAGTGTACAGTGGCCACGCATGAAGGACTGACTAAAACTACTCTACCCACTCCAACTGCACTGAGGTCAAGACACAGTGATGAAGGGCTCCAAGCAAAACTATTATGGGCAACTATATGATGTCCAATTCCTTTTGCCATGCAGATTGGGAGCTTAAACCACTCAAAGCAGCCAAAACTAAAGAGATTTCTCATCACATTATCATCCACCAAATTTTAAGAAGTGATGAGGGAGAAATGGAAATACCAGGTCTCATAGGGAAAGAACTAGCTTTTTACATTTGGCCAACTGAATCAGAAGGGTATTTTGCTCTCAGCTGATATAGTAGAAGGAAAGGAGGATTTAGAATAGGAGACACAAACACGCCTGCACTCTGCTTAAAGGAGATAACGTGAATTTCCTGCAGTCCAATGTGAGAATGTCAGAACAAAAACAGAGCAGAGCAGCTGCTAAAGTCACAAATCTAAAACCTCCAGGTTTAAGAGGACTGCCCACAGAATTAGCACAGAGCTAGTACAATTACAGGCAGCATTGGCAGGCAAATCAATAGTGAATCAACAGGCCATTGTTATCAGCAAAACCCTTCCACATTTGGCAACTGTGTTTAGTTGTGTCCGAATAGAGAGAGGGCTAAATATACATAATCCTGCAGGCAACATAGACCACTAACAGGACAAGAAGAACAGGTAGGGGGTGGGTATGGATGTCTTATATATGTTTGTGCGTGTGTGTGAGCGAGCGAGCGCAAGCGTGTGCTACAGGCCAACAGCAGGAGAGGCCTATTCCCTCTGTGGACATGCACACATGCAACCAAAATAAATACATAAATATTTCAATCATTGAATACTGTAAAAATTAAATTGGCACTTGGAAGCATTCTCTTCACTTAACCCAAGAATGTAATAACTGCCTTGATGCATAATGAATGGGCAGAGTGGACAGGTGAGGGGAGAGGCATTGGAGTTGAGTTTCTACTTCTTGAGTATTTTGGAAAATTAATGCCCTTTCTTTTAATACTCAGTTCAAGCAACAGAAAGCACAGGCCCCTGTGAAGTTGACCCTGCCCCTGGATCTGGGATCTCAGACTTCAACAAGGAGCCTGAATTTGCAGCTGTGGCACCTCATCAACTTCACATTCAGTAAAGCTTCAAGTGTATGTGACAGTGTATGTGCCTGGTCACCACCCAGCTAGCACTTATAAGTCTGGGTTCTGCTCCTTTAAACTTCTGCCAGCTCTCAGTTAAGGGCTTATACACACTTACCTTTTGCCCCATGCTTTCTAGGCACAGGTCTGTGTTTTAAAGCTCAGTATCTGAGCACTCCCCCCTCTTTCCCCAGGAAAACCTGCTCTTTAATGCTGAATTGGATTGCTGTTTGCTCTGATTCAGTGGTAAATAGGAGGTTTTCACAGGGAAAGCAGAGGGGGCACTCAGACACAATGGTTTGAAGTGTGGGCTTGTGTCTAGAAATGCAGCAAAAGAGGAAATCTGGATGAGCCCAAAGTGATAGGCCTTGAACCCTCAAGCCGTGTGCCTTCCCTAGAACCTTCTTCCAGAAGTTGTCCCCACTCCTACAGTGTGCACTGTTCAAGGTTGGTGCCTTACAAACCTCATCTTGCATCCTTCAGGATCACAACCTGACCAGTATCCTAGAATATATAAAAGACAGAGCAAATTCACTGTTCATATATCACAAACTCCAGCTGTCCCATTTATTAGTCTTTTGTGTTCCACAGTAAAAGGCCTTAAAAACTTTCACTGTTACTTACAGGAAAGGTGCTCCAAACCCTTAACACTTTCACACAAAAACTAATTAGCTCATAAGAAAAATTCCAAAATCCATATTAGGTCAACAGCTGTATTAGGCCAACCAAAATATTACAAAATAGCATGTAAGCTTCTGGGTTCTCCAGAACCCTTCATCAAATAAGATGATAAAAAGACCCGGGGGCTGGGAGAGAAGAATACAGTATTTGGCTGATGTTACAACCATGAAGTCTGCGTATGCCCATAGACCTAAGCAACAAATCACATGGCACTTTTTAAGGACTTATGCAGGTATCAGGTTGCATCAAGGCCTACTTGGAACAAGAGGCATAACTATGGCTAAAACCATGAAAACTGGCTGTTACTCAGCTCCGTCCCCATCCTTCAGAGCAGCATACAGGTTGCTCAGCAGGTAGAAAACAGGAATCAATAGAAACTAGGGTGTCCTTATATTAGCAAAGACATAAGTTAATTATAGGTGGCGCACCAGACAAAAATTCAATAGAAACCAAATTGGATAACTTTACCTAGCAGTCAGCTTTTCAATAGTTGGATCCTTAGAAATTATTGCTTTTAGCATCAATATATTTGGTATTTCATCCCAATAGCTTCTGGCTGTGAAGTCGTTTATAAGGCAGGCTAAGAACTTCATATTTAAACAGTCCTTTGAAAACTAGGTGCAGAAAATCTTGACAAATGGACTGCTCTCAGAGAAATTTGTATTTTAATGCTGGTTCTAAATGTGTTTCGTTATATTAAACTACAGTTTTTAACTTGTTTGTTTTTATTACTTTTTTTTATAATTTTAAAAAACATTGTAAGCTGCCTTGAATCTCAACGGGATAAAAATACATTAATTTAAGAACAGTAATTATATATGTGTGTGTGTGTGTGTGTGTGTGTGTGTATTAATATTTTATGTCACCTGAAGATGCGAGTATATCCTCTTGATGAACCTTCCCTACAACTGAAATTCTGCTTGATTCAGTGTGTCCCTGTCTGGTGGGAATACGTGCATATAGCAACTAGGGAGTATGGGTGTGGTAACATATAGATAGAATTTCATGCAAGAAGGTACAGGTGCAGGAGGCCACCACATGATCTTGCTTATGAACAAGAATGCGTGCAAAGTAAAGATATACTGGATTCTAGCCAGGAGTATTTATTTTGTTTGGACTTACTAGATGCTGGTGAACAGAATACACTATCAGAGGGTGTAGAGGCCCAGCATGATGGCACATGGCAGTGGAGGGCGAGAGTGGAAAAGGGATGGGAAAGGGTATGAACATGCTTGTTTTGGTTGTAGTTTGAGGCTTGTCTTGTTGATTCAGATTTTTAGCCTGTGGTCTCCTGAACAAACCACAGACTCATTCCTCCCTGAAGGTTTCAATTTTCATTAACCCCCAGTCTTTTTTTAAAGCTATGGAGAGCAATGACACATGGCAGCTCAGAGCAAAACAGCCAGCCCAGCTTTCCATAAGACTGTGGTGAAGTAAAACAACATTTTACCAAGAACACCACACACCACCTGTCCCTTCCCATCTCTAGCTCCACATGCTACAATAATATAGAAGAGCTTAGCAAAGACGACACATGGCTATATGTATCCACAGCTGAACCTCCTATCCAAAGATCAGGCTGCGGGTCACTTAGGAATTTAGATACCTACATTGACGGATTAACTGCCAAACGACAGAGAAGATCACAACACAACTGAGCAGTACATAACTGAGCACTATCAACTTGCACAAATGCGGGAGAAAGAATGTTCCTTTCCCTATGCGATGGAGGCGTCCTGTGAAAATCCCAAAGCCTATGGGGTTACTCTCAAAGCAGCCAAGTTTCTCACACCTTCAAAGTGCAAATTTTAGCTCCAGATACACCCATGTTGCTGAATAGTGGTTTGCACTACTCTCTCTCTCTCTCTCTCTATATATATATATATAACATAACATTTCTATGCCACCTCTCCACCTTCCATTTTACCCTCAAAACAATCCTCTGAGATACATTAGCTTGAGAGATGGTGAATGGCCCAAGGTTACCTAAGTGAGCTTCACAGCTAGGCAGGGACACTCAAACTACTACAGCACCCTGGCTCTCATCTGCATGTGCATTGCTGGGTCACTAACTCACCAAACTTTAGTAACTGCAAGCTTCAGTATAACTAAAGCAGAAATGAAAGGACGCTGCAATGTCCAAGTAAACTATTCCCAACATCCTCAAGTAAAGCACATGAATCAGCACAGCTGTGTTGGCAAACATGAGTCAACAAAGATTTGTGATGAAGATTAGGTGTCCAGGTTGAAAACAATGTCTCACATGAGGCCATTAGAAAACCTATTTCGGACACAAGAACAAATGGGCAAGGACAGCTTCAGTTGCCAGAAGACAAATGCATCATTACATTGCTGTACTGTCTTCAATGCAGTAGTGCACACAATAAAGACAAAGTATTTCAAAGCAAGCACAGAAGTGGTGGAAGAAAGTGGAAGAAAATGCTGAGCGGAATTGTGCAAAATAGCATCTTCCTTTAGAAATAAAGGGTCTCTCTCTCTCTCTCTCTCTCTCTCTCTCACACACACACACACAGAGAGAGAGAGAGAGAGGGAGGGGGGAGAGACTGGCCCATCAAAGAGGGCAGTGTGTGTTGCTTTTCATTTTTAAGCCAATAACAAGATATTACAGCAAGCTGCCTGTAATAACAGGCTTGAAGTAGAGCGTGCAGCAAGAAGAAGCACCGCCTTGAAAGCAGTGCAGAAAAATGACCCTGTAGCTCACACGTTTTTATTTTCTGAGAAAACTTTGGAGTTGAAAGGTGGTCTCAAAGGTTGGCATGTTTAAAATAACAGCTTGGAGGAGCTGCAAGGAGGGGTGGGTGGGTGGGTGTCAAGGAATAGGACACTGCTCCTACGTGTAAATGAGAGTCTGTATTGCTCCTACCCATGCAGACATCGTGGGGGACATTACAGTGAGGTGGGGGGAGTGCCTTTGTTGACATCTCCCCCCTTTCTCTTGCCTCCTTTCCCCACCCCTGAAAACTTCTGGGTGGGCTGCTGGTTTAAACTGAGCCCCTGTGTTTGAGACAAAGTTCAGTCCCATGCTGGGTGAGGGCAAAGGGATCTCCATAATTTACTGAAATTGCAACAGGCATTTGGAAGAGAGGAGTTGGCAGACAAATTCTGGGTATATTACCAAGACTGAAAGGGATTGGGGTTGGGGGGGAGATCACCAGCATGGAGGTGATGTTTGTAGAGGCCAAATCCAACTAGAATAAATTTATCCTTTTCTCCTCATGGCTCACATACAGTATACCTAAATATATACTTTACAGAAAGTGTGGACTGATTTATTTTTGTTATTGTTGGTCTAAAATTATACCCAGCTGAAATGTCACTAGTGAGTTATTGGACGTCAAGGGTCACTCACAACCGTATCAAAGATAAGTCATAAAATAAACATTAAAAGGGCCAGAGGTAGAGGTTAATGTTAGATGAGCCAGTTGCCAAGCACAGCAGTCCAACAAGCAGTAGCCAACCTGTGACTTCATAGGATTTTACGGGTAAGAAGCTCGTCTTTATCTGCCAGATAAATCATCACCCAATCAAATCATCAATCAATCAAATCCAGAAATTCCTCTGAAAGGAAGAGGCAATCAAGGTCTAAATTTGTTAGTCCACCCCCTGAAGGTAAGGGTTACTTCTCTGTCCTGATCCTAGCAGCTTTTAGATCCAGAACAAGAAGACTCTTACTGACCTATCTCATTAATCAACGTGGATGCAAAATAATTCATGAACCTCTCTCATACTGACCCCTAAATATACAAGGTTATGAGGAAAGGACCCAGATAGTAACCTTTGAGGGAAGGGCGAAGGGATGTTGCTCAGTGTTTGTCAGGGACTGGGCAGAGGAGGAATGGTGGAGACCACCTCCCCAACCTGACACTTCCAGAGAAGAAGACGACAGTTCAGAATTACAACAGGGGTTTGAGGGAAGTCACAACTCAGAGGAAGATGTGGGGGAAAGTTGGTAAATAATGGGAGAGGAGGAGGAGGCAGAGCCAGAGCAGCTGGCTGACACGTTATCACTAGAAAGCATTCCAGACCCACCATCTCTCAGAACCCGGCGAGCCTTAAAAGTAGGAGAGCAAAGAGCTTGGAGACAGATGGCCCTAAGTGGCAACCATAAAGGGGGGAGGGTGCTGTTGACGAATGAGGAAGTGGGTGAAGAGGAGAGTGGAGATTTACTTGGGACAATGCTTTTATTCCAAGAGGCTGCATTCTCAAGCCTCTCTCTGTAAATATTGAATAAAAAGCAGATGATAAGGACTTTTCCTTGTCCTATCCATTTCTGGCAACCTGCCATGAGGGTTGGTTGCTCTGCCGCCTGACAGTATTAGAGCAACTGCTTTGTATGCAGAAGGTCTCAGGTTCAATCCCCATTGGCATCTCTAGGTAGAGTTGGGATTATTCCCTCTTCTTAAATCCCAGAGAGCTGCTACCAGTCAGCATCAGCAGTAATGACCTAGATCAGGGGTCAGCAACCTTTTTCAGCCGTCGGCCAGTCCACTGTCCCTCAGACCATGGGGTGGGCCGGACTATATTTTTTGGGGGGGGGGTGGTGAATGAATTTCTATGCCCCACAAATAACCCAGAGATGCATTTTAAATAAAAGCACAGATTCTACTCATGTAAAAATATGCTGGTTCCCGGACCATCTGCGGGCTGGATTGATAAGGCGATTGGGCCACATCCGGCCCCCGGGCCTTAGGTTGCCTACTCCTGACCTAGATGGACCAACAGCCTGACTCAGTATAAGGCAGCTTTCTATGTATCCTACTTCCTCTGGCATTCTGGGTTCTACATTTTAATCAGTTATCATTTTCTTCACTTTGCTGTAATTATCTTTTCAAAGTACAGAGACCAAAGCAATAGTGTAGCTACTCTCAGGGTTTATTTTTAGGCCAATGGATATTATGCAAAATAATTTAACCTACCTACAATAATATTCAGTCAGGCACCAATGCAGGAAACATAATTCTGATTGCAGCAACTCCTATTTTTGTGGTGGCTGCAAGTGCACACCAAACTGAATATAAAGCAGATTACAAAATAATAATCTAACTGGGTGGCATTGACAGAGTGTTGTTTTTAAAGCATCTTAAGTGGTTGCATCTTTACTTGGCAGATTTTGCAAACAGGAACTTTGCTCCTTCTGGTGGAAAGAGGATGCAACTTCCCACTATAAGATCTAATAGCAGGATCAAACATGCAAGGAACTAATAACATATATTTTCAAAATTAAACTATTTGTACCAACTTTTATGCCCAAGTGAAAACTCAAACATACAATATTTGCAGTACCCTCTATATACGTGTGTAGTGCACATTTAAGGTAACTAGAGACATGTAGCCTTTTTTATTGTAAGCTTAGAGACAAAGACTGCCTGGTTTGTTATTGATCTTATGTAAGCAGCTTTGGGAGCCATTTCAGCTGAAGAGCAAGGTAAAAATCAGTAATCAGTCAACTGAAATAAAACTAAGAGGGATAGGTCAGAAGAGCTATATCAAACAAGATTTATATTGTTGTGTATGTGAGACAAAATGAGCTCCAACAATATGCCCCTTAGTCAGCCATGAAGTTTTCATTCTAGTGATATATCACTCTGCACTGCTGCAGTGAGTCACAGAGGTCAGCATATCTTTCGTTTTTCCACTTGAAATCAACACATTTTGCAGCATTGAAGCCTGTCTATCATAATACATCTTTCCCGTTTGCCTTGCTTTAATAGCAGACCACATGAAATCTACAAACTTTTGAATATCCAAGCATGGCAGTTTTCAACCCCAAATTAACATAAATTTCATTAAATTCTGTAAACAAAGCTCTTTCATTGAAAAGGAGCACTGTCCAGCACAGCTGCAAGAGGCTTAAGGCTTTCCTTTCGAATTGTATACAATAAATATTGTGCAACTCCGGATGTTAAAAGAGTGGCCAATGAAGTCTTGGAACAAAAGGCTGTAAAAAGAGCCTGCTGGATCATACCCTTCCTGTGGTTTCCAGTAACTGGTATTCAGAAGTGATACTGCCTCCAACATGGAGGCAGAACATAGTCATCATGGCTAGTAGCCACTGATAGCCTTATCCTCCATGAATTTCTACTATCCTCTTTTAAAGCCATCCAAGTTGGTGGCCATCACTGCTTCTCTGGGAGCAAGTTCCATAGTATAACTATGCAATGCATTATGTATTTTTTTTTATCTGTCCTTACACAGAACTCATACAAGACAAATGGGCAATGTTAAAAAATAGCTTTACGTAGGTCCTTTGCCTTCCTCCACAAGCATCTTGGCAAACTAAACATGCCCACACGTGTGGCCTCACAGATACCATATGGACATAGTCTACGGAGATGAGTGCACACTATGATGCACTTTATACAACATAGGATGGTACTGAGCTAGTGTGTTCCTTTTTGTCATAAGAACTTCAAATCATTGCCTCTCCGAAGCTTGAAATGAGTTCCAGTGTGTCATATAAAGGTTCAGAAATTTATTCAGCCATACCTTCAAGAAACATGATTCTTTCACCACATGTGGCATTTTGTAGTAGCATAATCACTCCCTTCACCCCTTCATATCCATATAGCTTCTATGCAACAACGCTAATACAGTGGTACCT